TTACTTCTCTGTCGTTTAGTGGGTTCTTGTGTATAAAAGAAGAGAAGGATGAATGACCAACAGACAGATCACTGTTTAGCTGGAAGACAGGAAAAGGAGACCCGCAGCCGGAGTCTTGACGCCAAAGAGAGGGTTTTAAAAACGAAGCTTCCTCTTTGAGGAAGATGAGTTGAGTCATGAACTGACACTAAAAAGAAGTGTTTTTATCTTTTCAGCTTTGTTTTGGTTAGCGACCTGCTTAGTGACGTATGCTTCGGGAGGTGTGGTCATCGGGAGGTCCTGTTGGAGAGAGACGTCGTGCAGTCTGCCTCACAGAAATCATGCGCCATACAGCGTGCCGCCTTTCTGGAGTTCTCACAGTGTGACATGAACAATCCTGTATGACGGCCAAAATTCACAGTGTGACCCAGGCTTTAGGCAAGTCACTTGCTGTATTGGCTATGGTAGTCTAGAGGTTAAGGCATCTTCCTGAGCGCCCTGACCACTGGACTACAGTTACTTGACACTAGTCGCCTAAGCCACATATCCTGTGCTGGCCAGGGCAGACAGGTTTCAGAACAGACTAGTTTAGGGAGAGGAGCAAGGCCTGATGACGAGATTAGTTTCCATTGATGTTTTACAGGATTTTTTAAGTAAAACTCAAAATTTGCAGCTGAAACAGGAAAATTCATGAATGCAGTCAAACATGATTTGGGTGTTTTTTTTCATGAGGAAATAAAAATATCACATGTTAAAAAGCTCCAAAAGGTGGATTTTCTATGATATGGCCCCTTTAACGTGACAGAACCCTGAGATGGCTCATTCTGGAAGGTACTGAAAATGTCACAAATAAAACTGCTGAGATTGCTTGAAGTGAGGGGGGTTTTGTACAAAGAATTTCATAAACATGTTTTATTTCAACCATGAAACAGTTTTACCTTAAGAAAAATATGTCATATGCCCACTTTAGTACTGATTATTACCCACAAATCATAAAACACAAGAATCTTCCTGTTGGCCACAAAAAAGTAAGCTGATCTCAGAGCTTTTTCATTCAGTTGAAACATTTCTGATAAAACAATCATGAGAAAATAGGAGGAACTTTTGTGACGTCAGTGTTTATGCTTCTCGTAGTGTGTGGCAAGAAACAATGTATTTTGCCAATAATTTGGTTGTTTTGCACGTTTGGAGGAGGATTTAGTGAAGACGGATCATTCTTGCTGTGTGGTTGATAGTTCGGTCCGTGGGAGGCTTGATGAAAAGTTTTATTGAAATTTCCTCCGTAAACTGCCGCGAAATACAAAAGAGATGATAGGAAGCAGTCCAGACTCTCGGAAGAAAGCCTGGACTCCTGCAGCAACGGGCAGTTTGTGAGGCTCATTTTGCTCACAGTAAGTCCTTGTGACTAAATATTTGTTAATAAGAGAAGACGTTTTTAAAAACATTCATCTTTGTGTATTTTTGAATCCACAGTCATGTTGTTTTCACGCTCTGATTTAGGTGTCTCAACCCACGATCATTATAATAATAAAGACATACATAAGGACCCAGATTAATAAAGACTTACCGGGCTTTGCAGTTGCCGTGAGGATTTATCTGTTTTCTTTGGTCATCACACACGGGTGATGCTAGCTGCTGCTATTGCCACGGCTTTCTGTTTTCAGAGAGAGAGATCGGCTCAACTCTCCTTAAAACAAAATTATCATAGGCCTCCAGACTTTTGAAAGTCTTTCATTTTTCATGAGTGAAGGGTCCAGGGCTTTTTGTTGAATTGGAACAAATGTCTCCCCCACAGATTTGTGGGGGGAAAAAAAACACAGGCGAATCGGATCGATGTTTTCTGTCATCCCAGAGCTCATACGGGCTTTAAATACATTTAATTTTGTCTTCAATACAGATTTTAAGCTTCTCTCTAAACCTCCTCTTGTCTTTAGACAGTAAAGTGTTTATATATCGGGAATTTCTCATCACAAACTCTCTTAAAAGTTTATGTCGCGTATTGATAGCAGTTCATTTTGTGTTTGTTTTTGCCGCCCAGCCACTCGTGCATACGCACAAAGATGAGAAGAGATGTCAACAAAGATCCTCCTATTGGCTGCAGCAATCTACTGATCTAATGCACAACTGCAGTAAAGCAATTACTGCTAATCAAATTTCACCCGGTGTACTTAAGACTAATGTCAAAAAATGATCGTGTCGCTCCAAGTCTCTCCTGTGAATTATGGAGCAAAATACAAACCCAGAAACAGGACATAAAGATTAATTAGATGACTGAAGCTAACAACTTTTACTTTTAAAAATGACATTGAATTCATGTTGTAGTAAAAAATGACTTACCCATTTTTAAGAAAAATTAAATATAACCAATATCCATGTGAACTTTGCTCCCCTTGAAGCTGTCAGACCTCCAAACTGCTGCCTGCATTTCTGACTGAAACATGACGCAAGCAAAATAAGATAAAAAACATAAACTTTTCTAAGATAAGAACAGGAAAACAGTATGACGCAAGTGTTTATGCCACCAACGAGACACTTTAGTGCCAGCATCTTACTCCTTAGTGAATTGTATCAGCATTTTCTTGTTTTCAGCTATCGTGGCTAGACAGAGGACCTTTAATAGTCACCTCACTGTCGAGTTTATGGATTTAAAAAGCTGCTACAGGCATTTAAATAAGTTTTTTGAAAATCTCAGTTTAACTTGAGTTCTTCATGTTCTACCCACATGATGCCAAGTTAAACCACAGTTACAAGATAAGCATCTGTACCGTCTTTTTATGTAGTTTGCAACAGACAATTGCCTTTAGGAAGAGGTTTTAGTAGTGTTAAAAAATCCCCATAGGCTCAAATACATCTGAAACTTTTATTGTTAGGTGCTAAATGTGTTCTGGTTTCATCGCCAGAAGCTACATTTCTCCTGAACATGACTCTTTAGAATGGATTCCTTTTTAATTCAATTCAATTCAGTTTATTTATATAGCACCAAATCACGAGAAGAATCGTCTCAAGGCACTTCACACAGTAAACATTCCTATACAGGTCAGTTCATTAAGCCAGTCAGTGAAAAATTTCTTGTATAACGAACCCAGCAGATTGCATCGAGTCAATGACTGGTGTCAGTGACTTTACAGCAATCCTCATACTAAGCAAGCATTTAGCGACAGTGGAGAGGAAAACTCCCTTTTAACAGGAAGAAACCTCCAGAGGATCCTGGCTCAGTATAAGCAGCCATCCGCCACGACTCACTGGGGATCGAGAAGACAGAGCAGACACACCCACACACACCAACCCACCCACACACACAACATATATACCAAGTAGTGTTTCTATGGTTTCATTGTGATTTCTTGGTAAATATTCTATTTGGCGAGAGATAAACTTTATTGTGCTTATCCTAGTGGATCTATAATTAAACGGGTAAACTAGAACAGTATTTTCCGGACTATAAATCGCACTTATTTTCATAGTCTGGCTGGTCCTGCGACTTATATACCAAAGTGACTTATATACCAAATTATGTATACTTATATACCAAATTATGTATACCGCGCTGCTGCGGACCGGCTCCGGACCAGGTTTCAGCTCCTCTGCCCCGCCTTCACCTGCTGGAGCCTGTGGCAAGCTGCTGCGGGCCAGCTCCGACCCAGGAATGAGCTCCCCCGCCCGCTGGGAGGGTTCGAAACACCACCATCCTCTGCTGGAAACCGTTGTGCGCTGCTGCACCCTGGTTGTTTATTCTGTTATTGTTACCGGTACTTGTCTTGCAATTTGAAATGCTTGGTCTCAGATTTTGTAAGGAAAATAATAACATTTCCCCCCAAAATGCGACTTATAGTCCAGTGCGACTTATATATGTTTTTTTCTTCTTCATTATACATTTTATGGCTGGTGTGACTTATACTCCGGAAAATACGGTAGTAGCACATTCAATGCCAACCAAAGTAAAATGTTATTATCAGAAGAAGGAGAATGTTTAAGTGGTTAGCAACAGTGTTAAAACCTATGGCCCCCTCCATGAGGCCACCACAGCTCAGCAGAACATCACTGTAGCTTCTTCTGGGGAGAAAAACACTTAGAGAAAAATAAAGCTAACAGCTGAAATAGCAGGAAATAATACAGTTAAAGAGCAAATTGTAGAAGAAAATAGTCGAGTGTGGAAAGTGGTCAGTATGTCCTCCAACAATTTAAGGCTATGGCAGCATAGCTACAGAGATAACTTTAGATAACCTAGCCTTTTAGATGGAGGCATGTTGGAGGCAGGGCAAGGGAGAGCCGTCTTTACCGACTGTATTCTCCACCTCCCTCTACTCCCCCACTTGTCCAGATCTAGGCTAACATCAGATTTTAACCATAGGCCCTATCAAATAAAAATGTTTTAAGCCTATTCTTAAAAGTAGGCAAGGTGTCTGCCTCACGGACTAAAGCTGGGAGTTGGTTCCACAAGAGAGGAGCCTAATAACTAAAAGATCTGCCTCCCATCCTAATTTTAGATATTCTGGGAACCACCAGTAAACCTGCAGTGTGAGAGCAAAGGGCTCGGTTAGGAACATATGGAACAATCAGGTCACTGATGCATGATGGAGCTTGATTATTAATTTACTTTTATTCTGTCACCTTCGCTATGAATAGACAGAATTTTGTTTAAAGGGTTTTAGCATTTCAGTTACTTGAAAACAAAAAATCCCCAATTTCCTCTGAGAAATCCCTTCCAGCAAAGTTTGAGAAAACATCTATCTGCCTCGGATGAAATACTGAGATAACGGCAGCAAATAAAAGACACTGGAGCGGTTGGACGGACCAGTAACTGACCAGAACCATTAAGTGGAGGACCCTTTAGTCACATCAACAGATAAACTTTTTTTTTAAACTGTATGATTGTAACAACAAGGAGATCTCCCTATCTGTCCGGTTTCAGGTGAAGAATGTGTGTGTGTGTGTGTGTGTGTGTGTGTGTGTGTGTGTGTGTGTGTGTGTGTGTGTGTGTGTGTGTGTGTGTGTGTGTGTGTGTGTGTGTGTGTGTGTGTGTGTGTGTGTGTGTGTGTGTGTGTGTGTGTGTGTGTGTGTGTGTGTGGCAGGAGTATAATTTCAGTCTACTTGCAAAAAGCTTTCATTTTCATTGCTTCTGACTTCATTTGATGTGTGAACGAGTTATTCAGTGAACTGTTTGTGCTGTAGTGTGGGTTTCCTTTTGGTGTTTATTGAACAGTGCTGCTCTGTCGTGGGTCTCATGTAGCTCACCAGGTTGTAATCAGCTGCTCACAGAGCATCAAATATGCATGAGACCTCATCCAAGGATCGTAGTGCCGGAGATACTTTAAACCAGTAACAAGTAAACAGTCCAGTGTACACACACACACACACACACACACACACACACACACACACACACAATGGTTCACTATTAGTTTCATGTGCAAACAATGAGACAGATTTAAAATGCAAACCGAAGGGCTGAAAACTAAAGAAAGAACACTGTTTTCTCTTGTTGCTGCTTTTAGCATAAATAACAACTATATAGAAATTGTAATATGACTAAAATATTTTCATATATTATCAACCATATAGCTAATTTAATGCTTAAACCTCTTTTTCAGTATTTTGGGAAAAATGTGTTTCCTTTTCGGGGGAAATTACAAATAAATTGTAATTAAAGGACAGTTGGAACAAAACAAAAAACACCAGCAGACAGCAACTATAGACTGACTTTGTACAAATAATTAATAGTAAACTTTACAAATTGTGGGAAATGTATTTTTAAACTGAATTAGTTATTTTTGTTCAACATGAAACTAAACTTCTTCTGAAATGGAGCAATTCAAACTAAGCTGGTGTGTTGGTCTGCATGTGCGGACTCATAAAGAGAATGAAGATGACTCATTTAGGGTTTGTTGCAGGAACATGCTGAACTTCACTTTTCCTCAACTTGTTATAGGTTTATAATTTCATATTTGGACTAATTGTTTGTTAAATATTAAAGAAATAAATATTTGAGAAGTTTCTATTCAATCTATTGATCAACACGGGCTTAATGAGGGGTAAAATAGTAGCAATAGCTTATTTAGGATTGAGAAAAATACCAAAACCACTTTATTTCTTTAAACGTTTACAAGCTTTCTCCTCCATCACCACCTCTCATTGCCTCGCTGCCTGCCCAGCACCAACTCTAACAATATCTTGTAGCTGCAGGGCTGCAGAATCAGGGTATCGGGTCAAGATGCATGCTGATCTCACGTGTCACCCAAGGCTGCGTCAAACCAGCTCTGCCAGAAACAAAAACACCCACAAACCACGCAGTGGAGTTAGAGCTCCCTTTGACAAGTCATGACACACCAAAATGTTCCCCTGTCAAAGTGTGGGAGTGTTTTCAGTTTCACAATGTTTGGAAAGAGTCAGCAGTCTGCTGCTTTGCGGATTGCTTTGGGTTGAGGCTTAAGACAGCTGACCTTAAACACATTTCTTGAGGTGTTGGATATTCTGCATAAATCAGACTTCTTGACAGCTTCAGAGCACATGGAGGACCGTATCAGCTCCCACAGCGACGTCAGGGGACTCTGCAAGCACACAGCCTGCCAGACGAAGAGGTCAACCCTCCCTGTCACTACCCTGTGGTGTCACTGTTATCAGCAACTAATCTACTCTTCTCCTTTCTGCAAACTGAGTGAGTGAAGGAGTGACGCAGAGGTAGAGAAACTAAGCTAATTTTAAAATCCTTACTTTTTGCTCTCTAGTTTTTTTTTCCTTTATCGTTTTGGACAATTTGCATCGGTGTGACTCGGGAACTTCTTTGCGGTGCAGTCATTGTCACATCTGGGATTATTTGGAGAGTTTGTAACCATGAGCTAATGAGAGAGGAGAGACAAATGTGCAAAGTCCTCCAGTGCAGCGGAGTCTTCGCTTAGAGCAGCACCTCCTCTGCCTCTTCCCTCTCTCTTTGCTGCCTTGTCGAGGCTTGCCCGGAACTCCAGTGGATGAACTCTGCAGCATTCTTCTGCGGATTTTCCTGCATCCCTAAGCCATGAAGAGTAATCAGATCTGTATTTTGTCTGATTTTATCAGTTTTGTTTCCACTTCAAACCTGGATTCTTCCTTTTGTTTTGGTTCATCTCAGAGCAGAACCTCATGGAATGAATCCAGAAGAGAGAAATAGCTGAACAGGTCTGGCGTGCCATGTGTTTTCTTTACAACTGAGTTACGCTTGAGTCAGGAGCTCAAAAGGAAAATGAACAAGGACTCACGACTGGCAAAGAAAGGGACCAGTTCTGGATACAGTCGGAGACACTCGTGCTTGGGGTACGTTTCTAAACTCTGCATCTTTTCTGCTCTCAGTCATGAGAGGGAGTTCTCTAACTCTGACAGGCAGGATTCATGAACTCAGAGCTATAGTTTCACGGTGTTGAAACCGCTAAACGGGAACTATTTGGAAACAAAACACTAGTTTTCATCATTCATGTTTGAATCGTTCTTTATTTGGTGGTCAGAGACAGAAAACATAAAAGCGTTTATTTTACATTCTCCACAAGATCAATTTTTCTTAAGAAAATACAAAAAAGGAATTAAACTTTTTTTTAGAGAAATGTTGACATTATAGCCGTTTTGTTGAAATCTTGATTAAACTTGTTTCATTAGCGCTCAGACGATGTGCTCTGGCTGATTCTCAGCTACCAACACATCAAAATAACAGGGTTATTACAGGTTGTTTTGTGTTTGCCGATATTGATTAGTAATGGCATCCATCTTTAATGAAGCTGGATCAGTGGTAGATGTGCCTTCAATGATTACTTTCATTGAGTCTCATTGAAATCCATCCACTGCTTCATGAGATATAAATAAGCACAAAGGCAAAAACACTGTTTTATCTCTCGCCTTTTGTCTCTAAATAACAAGTCATAAAACTGGAGAAAAGAACAAAAATTTGTTGAAACTTAGTTTGTAGAGCCATTTAATTTATGTGGTTAAGTTTACTTAATGCTTTGCTCTGGGAACATGAACAGAAATACTTCCATCAGAGCGATGATGCCTGACAAACTCCATTAAACTTGAATCGTAATAGTCAGAATTATGGATAATGCTAATGAAAGCGTGAACGCGCTGCAGCCTCTCAGAACCGGGGCGCTGCGTTACGTGGGTTAGAATTCCTCTGTCATTTTACCCAACAGCTTCACTGAGGAAGTTAGTTTTCTTTGTGTCAACATTCAGCTTAAAGACTTCCTGTTATTTGCCTCAAGTTTCCTAGATACTTTTTTTAAACTTGAAGAAGATCTTGAGGCTAACCCAAATTATGACTCCAGGTTGCTGCTGTTTCTGCTCATGCAGATGCACACACTGCTCATTTTACTAACTGTTTTATTTTAAATAAATAATTCATTTCAGAGCTGGAGGGGTGCTTTAGATGTAGCTGACGCCATAATGACGGCACTGACTCATGATTACAACACTAAATTCTGCAGAGCTTATGGCACATGCTAGCTGTCTGCATGTTCCCAGGTTCCTCACATGTGTTCATGCCTGTTCTTGTGACCAAACATGAAAGTGAACCCACTTCTCAACACTGCTGCCGGGTCCTTAGCGATGTCAGAAATAATGTTTTCTATTTGTTGCTTTACTATTTTAATTTCTTATAGCTTGATGTTTGAAAATGTTCCTCATCTGTTGAACTTCTAAGGAAGAGTCTAAAATAAGCTTTACCTCTGACATGCAAATACTAGGAGATTAAAAAGATTAGAAAACACTTTGGTGTCCATTTTCCTCAAGTCTCTGAAAAACATCTTCAGACGTCAGACACTGGAAAAAATTAATCAAGTACCACGTTTACCTTATTCAGACATAAAACCAGACAGTTTAGGATAAAATACGACCTGATTATTCATTTTATTGAGACTATTTCTGCATTTAGTGTTGTGTTTCTTATACTGGACCATTGCTAATGTAGCGCTTTTATTGACCTTTAGCATTTATGATAAAGATTTCACAAATAACAAGCGTTGCATGTTTGAAAGATTCTGCGTATTTCTGTGTGAAATAATGTAGTCTGGGTGTGGAAGGTTGGTTGGGTTTGAAGCAGAGCTGATAAAAAATGGTTCAAATGGAAAGATTCCTTGGAATCGTCTTTTAAAAGTGCCATTCTCTCATTTTGTCTGCTGTGGTCTCTAAAATTACAGACAGTTTTTTGTGTTATTTTCTCTCTTCTACCCGCTGAAACTCCTGTTTCTGAATGAGTTTCAGCTGGTAGAAGTTTATTTGGAGGAGTGGGGGGCAGAAATTTGCAGGATTACTCATTAAAATTCATTACATACAAACAACTCACCTCTGATTGGCTAATAACAATGCAGCTCTTCTGCTGCCTTTGTTCACTCTTCTTTCTTGGATAAAATATGCAAAGTTTATGTATTTTCTACACAAATAACACAATCCAAATGTGTTCCGCCATGTTGTGAAGTTGCTAATGCTAATGGTTAGCTTCTACTAGCCCAGACGCATTCTGCTCTCTCCTTCCCTTAGCCACAAGCCAAGGTGGACGAGTCCACAAATGCTAATTTTCTTTGTGACATACGAGACTGGCTTTTTCTGATCCTATTGTTTGCCCGTCAGCTTCCTTTCTGCAGCTCATGCAGGCGATGGGGACTGTAGAAATTTTTCGTGTTCAGCATGCATATTCAACTCAGAGTAACCAATCGTATTTTAAAAATAACAAATATTACACTGTTTCTCAGTTTACAAGAACTTTAGCCAAATGCTCAGTATGAAACAGGAATCAGAAGCTAACTCCAGCGCTGTTTTTTTTTCTGTTACCTGATTATTTTGTTATCTAAAGTGTGGAGTCTGAGGCTATTTCTTCTGAAGTCTGAAGATGTTTTCCTGAGGTCAGAGAATGTCCTAATATAGAAACTGTCAAACAGGCAAAAAAAATCCTCAAATCCTCTCAAATGAATGCAGCATGGCCAATGCAGGAAGACTAGGTTCAAGACCACTGAGTCCAGCTGGAGAGAGAGAGAGGGTGGGAGAGAAGGGCATCAATAACAACCCTCCTCCCCCAACAATACCCCCTCCCCACGGCCTGGAATAGTTTTCAGCCTCGCCAAGCTGGCTGCACACAACACGTGAATATGACACATGTTGCTTATGGATTGTGTTTTTACACACACACACACACACACACACACACACACACACACACACACGCGCGCGCACACACACAATAACCTGCCACCGTCACCCGTTCTAAAACCCATATTGATTGTTCCACCAGAGTTGCTGTAGTTGCTTTTAGGTCACATTGCAAAAGATTTTTTTCTTAATTGAAAAAGTGATTGTTACATTTTGATTTTGTATCTGTTTAGTTTTTAATCTTGAGTCCAGATGTGACATATTTTTGTGTGTAGTGATGGGGAGAAAGAACAGATGGCCCACAAGTTTTGTTTTTTGTTATATTATTTACACCAACGCAGGTAAATAGTCATGTACCAGCTGTAAATTATGGACATTTCTTTGAGCATTGATGCAGGATGTGTTGTCTACAGTTGGGCCGTTTTAGGTGTTAGATTCTGCGGAGTGCAGAATTAGGTTTTTTGTTAGTCTTTAGGTGAAGTGCGCCCTCTAATGGACAGTTGGCCCAACAGAATCAACCTTTGTGGAATGAACTGTTCTGTTCAACTTTAAGCTGTTTTATCATAGAAGAGTTTAAACTGAGTCATGCAGAACTACAATTAATAAGATAATAATTAGTATCTTACAGTCATTCCATATGGTCTCTGTCACTTGGTGCTAGACTCTGAATGACCTCTGTTATAAGCATCATCTTAAAAATCTTCAGCTGAACATGTGAATGAATCATTTTTGTAAAATAAGTGAATGAATAGTCCAGATTTATTGAACAACAAAAGCTGATTTTCTCCTCTAATCTCGGTGCACTTGTTTGTCTCTGTAACGCCTGTCACCAAATTAACACAAAGATGGTTTCTAAGAGAATTTGGATCTCTCTTGGAAGCCTTTTCAGTGTTTTTGTTGCATTTTTATCATTAGTTTCATTCGTATAGCATCTTTGATTAGGTTTGATACTTTAATCTCATTTTTTGTTTGTCTTGGTGATTTTTCCACTGAGCAAGCAGTTTCATCCTCAGACAAGCTTTTCCTTTTTTCTTTGATTTGATTTGGATTGTTTATAATTTCTTGGTAAGTTTCTTCTACTATGGAACCCAAACCTTTATTAGCATCATGATGAAAAAGCAGAACTCTTTCTTTTTTTAACCCTTTGATGCATGAATTATGAAATCTTCAACCATGATTTTTTTAACATTTTTTTTCATTCATCTTTAGGTGTGAATGAAACAAATTTCATATTTACATATTTTTTGTAAAATGTAATTTACAAATAATTTATTACATGTCCACCTCAGTGTACAGTGTGCAATCTGAACATGAAATATGTTGGCTTGACTTACTGAAGTACAAATGGAGGGGTTCAAATGCAATAAAGTCTTCAACAGCTGTGCTTAATAACAAAAATAAATAAATAACAATTTTAAGTATCTGTCCACTGTAGTGACCATTATGCATCAAAGGGTTAAGGAGAATTTTCTCAACTTTTTATGCATTAGTTTGGTTCATTTGCTTCTTTGTAGCAGCAAACTTCCCTCCAAACACCATGAAACTGACTGGTATCTGACACTAGAGCCTGAAACTTCTGTGTCAGTGCAAACTTGGCAGATACACACAAACACACACACACTTGTCTCCATCCTTGTTTGGACCCTCCATTGACTTCCATTCCATTCAATTTAGGAACTGCCCAACCCTAACCCATACCCTAACCCTAACCAATGCTGTTCTATTCCTAACCTTAATCTAAACCAAACATTAATTCCCACCATGCATCTAAAACCACATTTAAGGGTATTTTGTCATTGTCACCGGCCACTACAGGTTAAAAGTTAGTTAGAAGTACACACACACAAACACACACACACACACACACACACACACACACACAAACACACACACACACACACACACACACACACACACTCCTCCCTTGCAGCTTGTTCTCATCAGCACAGCTAATGCAGTCATAGGAGCCAGAAGCCAGCTGGGCTGTAGAAGTTATTTTGGTTGTTGGGTTCGGTTACACAGCGGCCTAACAAACACCTCATTTTCAGCAAAACCCCAACCTGGCATCGGCTTCAAAGTCCAACTTGTTTCACAAGTATGTTGCACATGGACAATAGTTGTGAGAGGAGTAAACAAATGTACCTATAGAGTTCTAATTCTGACACTAAAATCCACAGCTTCATTAA